TCTCAACGAATTGAAAAATATTTTAAGAATTTTCTAAACAATCGTTTTTGAAGAGAGACATTTTCTAACCTAACTTTTACTGACAGGATAATTTTTAAATATTTAAAAAATATCTAACCAACTTTTCGGTAAAAATGTGTACTCTGACCTAATTTTTGTTGAAATTTGTACAAAGGAATGTTTGTGAATTATTTTTTAAGATCTTCTAACCAAACTATTCGGTAACAATTACTTTTCTAAGCTACTTTGGTCTAAAATATGTATTAAACTGTTATTAATATATTTAAGTTATTTCCTAAATTAACTAGCAATTTGTTTTCTAAGAATTTTTTGAAAAAAAAGTTTAGACTTTTCAACACGCAAGTTAGAGTTTATTGCATGAAATACGTGCAATAAAAGCGTTATAGAATCATTGAAGTCTATCTACTTTACGACCCATTGTCTCGAACTAATTTTTGTTAGTGTAATGTCATAGATTGTTTACAAAATAATAATATTGGTTTGTAAATGAGTAATACAGATAGTTACTGATAACAGTGTCACGACAATAAATAATGTGTAATAAATAATACTACAGGTGTAGATAGTATATACATAGTAAAGTGTTGTGTAATTGTGTAATGGGAGAGAATAGCTTATGAGTACACCATACAAATGCAGCCCAATGCCAAATAAAGCTTCAAAAAAATGAAAATAATATCAAATTAAAAGCAAAAAGGCGAAAATTAAAAATTTGGCGAAAGCTAATGCGCAGCCAAAACAGAAAACAACAACAAAAAATAGAGAGAAAAAAATTTAATTATTAGGCAATTAGAGGAGTGAAAAACAATAACTACAACAATTTTTTTTTTTTACAAAACTTATGACGATTTTTTTTCCTTAATTTGGGTTACTTACATTATGCGCTGTGGACTGTATCCTATTTGTTGAATTATCACTAGGCTCTCTATCCCCTTCGCCACGCTACAACATGAGTTTTCAAATCAAATCGAACGTATTTTTTACGAGTAAGTTGAGTATGAGCCAAAAAAAACAATAAAATAAACGAACGAGGGTAAACGGATAATAATAATAATACAAGAATACTAATAATAATTATACAATAAATAAAAAACCATATTAATATAAGAAGTGAACACCAGTTCATAGAGAAAACAAAGTATTTTGAGGAAAAATAGTAGCAGTGAGTGCACGGGAGTGGTGTGAGTGACCGGTAAGTGGGTGTAGGTTAGGTCTTGTGGCAGTGAAATAGTGATGTGAGGTTGTCAAGCGTTGGAAAATTGGAAAATAGAAATGAAAGAAATTAAGAACGAATAGAGCGACTTCAGACCGAGTTAGGCAGTGAAGCGCAGCTAGAAGCAGCTCATTTACAAAGTGAGAAATATTTAATTGAAAAAAAAAAAAATAAACACAAAAAAAAATTTAAATGCCCCGAACGATGGATGGCAAAGTGAAAATTGTTGATAAAAGTGAAGAGGTTGTATTGATGAACAAATTTTGGCAGCAGACAATTAATTGTTGCCAAATTGCGCAATACTTGAATTGGTTCAATGGAGTTGTTTTTGCTTTTATTGAGTGCAAGAAAAGCAATTTCCAGTGCTTTGTAATAGGTAATTTTGACTTTTTTGGGGCTTTTTGATTTCATTTGTGCGCTGATAGTAACGCAAAGCAAAAGGGAGTTGATGATTTTCGTGAAGTGCTGTGTGTTCTCGCATTTTCAAAAACGTAGAATTTTTCGAAGTGCAAATTATATTATATTTTAGTAATCATTTTTAATAATAATCTTTTTTAAATGTTTTTCCGACAATTGGTTTT